AACTAGGTGTCGATGGTGTCCTTTCATATGCCCCGAAAATCAGCCCTGTTTTTCGGATCGCAGACGCATCGTCCGACTAAATGTGCCTCTTCTCCGAATACCTGCTACTGGTTCAACTAGCTGGAGAGTTTCCACCAGTCAAAGCAGAAGTCACTCACCATATTGTCCCGCGCGGTCAACCAGCTAGTGCACGACCAAGATGGCTTGCTTCGGACAAACTGCATGCAGCACCAGCTGAATTGGACCACATAATTCAGCTCGGTATCGTCAGACAGTCCAACAGCCTATGGGCGTCGCCTCTCCACATGGTTCCGAGGAAGGTCATAGAGGGCCAGCGTCCTTGCGGCGACTATCTAACTTTGGATACGGTTACCAGCCCCAATCACTATCCGATCCCACACACCTTGGATCCAATCGCCAGTCTGGCAGGTAAAAAGCGCTTTAGCAAAATCGACTTGGTACTCGCATACAACCAATGGAACAATGGAACAAGAGTATAATACGGATAAAAATCCAAGGCTTGACACTTCCAGTGGGATGGTTTGTGGGAATAAAGTTAGTACAAATTACACGAAAGTGAAAAACACATCTGTGGACTCACCATATTATCCACGTTAACACATAGGTATATCCGTCTGTTGGAGGAGTAAGAAAAATACAGGTATGCTTGTGTAGCTGTTCATGACTGCAGACTTTCCTTCTGCCATGGAGGTTCACCGATGTTTGTTTTAACGCATCATTTTGCTAGCCCTATTAGATATTTGGAGTCGTTGTTTTGCCTTCAGATAGCAGGCATACTCTGATACTATCACTCTCATCCTATGTCCTTTGTGTGCACTTGATTGTTTCCTCATCTGTTCCGTTCTTCTTGGCTTTAATTCTCCGCATGCTTCTCGTACTCTGGTTGGCTTTCATGTTTGTGCGTTATGCTATTCAACGAACTTGTTTCCCTATGTAAAAGAACCCTTGAATCTCTGTCCCTTGTCGTTCATGTTCTCACTACCGTTAGTGGGTGAAAAGTAGTCGTGCGTGCCCCGATACAACACAGTCTAACTCGATTTCGTGAGTTTGGTGAGCACAATGCTTGTCTGCGTCTTGTCATCACTCAATGAACAAAAATCGGGTCAAGTAATGTAAATGATCTAAAGCACCTTCGAGTCGTTTTTAAAAAATATGTAGCGTGGGCGCTGAAATGATGAAAGTCGAAAGAGCGTTCCGCGGTTGACAAACTAGCAGGGAACAGTAATTCCGGCGGCACTGCAGCCGACTGTAATGGGTAGCAGGTTTCAATTTATAACCTCTCAATTCTGTGTTGCACCCAAGCTTCAAGTGGTGGCGTCAAACGTGGCCGGGGGTTTACAAAATCTGGAAGGTCAGGATAAGATCATCTCGTAGACGGTGATACTTTCCGCTGTATACGCCCAGGGCTTTCAATCGCCAATGGTATTGCAGGTGGGACAAATCCTTCACAGTTTCTGTTGTCCGTCGTTGTGCGGTATCCAGTGAAACCAGGTCGCGTTTTAACCAGGGTTGCCAAGCCTGGATCGCGTACTCTACACGGAGGCACACATACGCATTTGGGGGAAGATGGAGGGATCGAACCTCCAGAACGCACTTAGTAACATACCAACGGGTTGGTTCGCAGTTTTGCACGCTTTCAAGAACTGCGCCGAACAGCCGAGGTCGTCTTGGATTACCTCCTCAAAGTCTTGCTCTTGTGAGGTCATGTGCAGCATATCTTGTCCAAGCTTATATGCGTACATGGGCTTGTGACGGACATGCACGGTTTTGCACTTGTCCGTGTTAAACGAAAGTAGATTTAACTTTGACCATTCAAAAGCGCAGTGTAAGTCTCGTTGCAACATATCGTGATTTTCTGACAGTTTATTGCACGCCATATCTTGTTGTCATCAGCAAAAGCAGGAAATTTCACTTGATGACACTCACAAGGTCGTTACTGAAGGACAAGTATAACCGCAGCCCCAACACCGACCGTTGTGGAACATCGCAGTCCACATCAATTGGATCAGAAAATAAACCTTGAACTCGAACCTGAAGGCGCCGCTGAAAGTGGAAGTTTCCAATCCATCCATGGACAGAGCTTCCAAATCCGCATGCTTGCAACTTTTAGAAAAAATACGATGATCTATGCGGTCGAATGCTTTGGAAAAGTCTGCGCAGATGTCAACAATGGTGGTCCCACTGTCGGCTGTCTCGGTCCAGCTGCCACGGGTAAGCAGTAGATTGGTGGTACATGACCAATGCTGACGGAATCCGTGTTGCTCCAGTGCGATGACGTTAGACCTTTCAAAGTAACCCATTACAGCCTCAGCTATGATCGATTCCATCAACTTAGAGAGCACCGGGAGGAGAGTCACTGGACGATAGTTGGCTAGCTCTGAACGGCTACCACTTTTGAAAATCGGGGTTATGATTTATTGCTTCCACATGTTAGGGATCTTCTGTTCGTCTAGGCATCTCTGGAAAAATCTCGTTAGTGGTTCATCTGTCTTCGTAGGTGCCACCTGCTGTGCTTTCGAGGGAAGGTTGTCAATTCCGGGGGAACTGTGGGTGCGCAACGATAGCAGCTTCCTCAAAATGTTTGCGGAACTAAACGAAGCGGACATCGCTAAAACTGCCTAGATGACTCCATTTGGTTTGTTTGGGTTGCTGCGCATGCCGTTCCGTCTAAGGAATGTCGCACAAACATTTCATAGCTTCCTCGATCTCGACGACATCTTAATCGCGAGTTCTTCATGAGAGGAGCACTTACGCCACGTACGAACACCTTTTTTCGTTTATCACAACACAGGGTAACGATCAACGCAGAAAAATGTTCGTTTAGTGTCGATTCGGCTACTTTTCTCTGTCATCCTATCATTCATTCGGGCGTCGTGCCACTACAAGATAAAATTAAGGCTAACAGCGACTGTCCCGTGCAACAACTAAAAGGCTTCGACGGCCTGGTCAAATTTTATCACCGTACCATACCCAGTTGCGCTTCGCTGGTGCAGCCTCACAAGGAACTTCTCCTCGGAGACAATCCGTTCTGTCCGACCTTCCGGTTTCCTGGTATCCGCACTAGTGCAAGCGTGCTATCTCGGACTAATATATACTAGTCCTGCAACCTGCATATGTTCATTATTAGCTTCTTTCCTACAAAACCGCAAGATTTCAACATCATTTTCACAGAGGCAAGAAGGCTACCGAATCTTGATCAGATGCGTACAGATGCATAAGTGTATCAGCATTAGTGATCAGCGTGTCTACCCTGCTCAAAGGGAAGGGACACAACAACGGTTGCTTGAAAATAACGTGGATCAGCACCACAAATTACCGGGAAAGTGACAGAAGCCACCGTAAGATGCGAAGTAAAATCCTGTCAACGGTGACCTAAGGTATAACTACCATGACTTTTAAGCACATAATGAAGATATAAAAAATTCAAATCCTGCCGTGACCTGCTTCAACTCAGCCACTGTTCTAATCTGAGAAGCTACAAGCTCAAACTAGTTACACACTATAGTCGACCTAACTGCAGACAAAATGCTCCCCCCTCCGGATATCCAGAACATGGAAGGACGTTCGAACTCAGGTCGTTTTTGTCCCGACAGCAACGTCTTTCAAAAATACCTCCGATACACACCATCCTACTTACACTGCATGATATATTTAGCTTCCGTCAGCGGAAGAAATAACTATGTGCTAAGCAGCTCTTTCCGTTGCAAAGTACTGCGGAAATCTATATCAGTGTTCACGTGAACGGTTTTGTGAGTCCCTTAAAACCCGAAATGCTACCTTTTCCATGTTATTTTTGACATTTGGTATCAAAATGCTTACCCTGGTCATCCTACGGGACTGGGCTAGCAAACAATATTTTTAGACATAATTCCTCATAGTCCCCCCTCAGTCTGGAAAAGCACCAGATAGCTCTATTTCCACCTTCTGGGCCTCGTCATTAGTGCGCTTTCTTCGGACCCCTGCGGAGTTCCGACCTCGTGACTTCCGGATGCCGGCAGCTTTTGCCACTGAGCCATGGGTGACGACCGGAGACCTGCATGACTGACAGTTGACTACCACATAGCTTGGCTTATCCTACACTGCTATGCCAATTACGAACTGTGCAGAGGGCAGTAGTTGGTCCCAGGAGCTACGAGTTTCTGTATAGCGACTGTGTACGACAGCACTTAGAAACCATACGGACGGATTTTAGATTGCGAATTACCTCTGAAATCGTACCCTAATCCCCACTACACATTTGTAATCGCTATTTTACCGGTGCTAAATCACTGCACTCCACCTCTCCTCCGGTGCCTTCAGATTTTGGCGGCCTGTAACACAACGCCTAAAGACCTCTACTAAAGCAGACAAATGTCAATCAAGTTTGCAAAAGCGATAGCTTAGCCAAAATTTGGCACCGTCTAGTGTCATTTAGCGTACAAGAGGATTTTCATTGAATTCATTTATATAGAATTGGAACCGATTCGGAATTCGTAGCTTCCTTTTGCATAGGCTGTTATTAAGGTTACGTTTCACACTTGATCTGCAAAAGCTCTTGTAACAAGAGCCACGCGTAGCCACAATATAGCTTATACAAAATTAATTTCTATTCTAATCCATCTGAAGTTATGAGTTCTCTCTGAATCTCATGGGATAACATCCATCCTATCCATCTGACAATTGCATTGGTTTCCGTAGAACACCACCCGATGACGCAGCTTGTTAGCCTTTTCTATTCACTAACTTCGCAGGTTTCTCTTACATGCGTAAGCGAATGGGTGGTGCCGTGGGAAAGTGCACAGCATGGGGACGTGCCTATTGGTGCGAGCTAAAAAACCAATCGGAGCCCTTGGAAGTTGAGCTTGAACTCCATTAACACTACAAACGGTGCTGTATGAACTGCACTTGTCAAACTGAGCTACTACAGGAGTGGATTAGAGCATAGCTCATCTGCCGTTGTAGGTCGCCACACAGCGATTGAGTTTACATACCACAGCCGAATGGTGTTCCTGCTGGGATTGTTGACCCGCGCATCATGGATGATTGCGCGTTACGCAGTCGGGACCACCTTGGCAACGACTGCTTGTAGGATGTTAGTTGAGGGTGTAACTGCTGGCTGCGGATGCGAAGGTTAGTGCCAATTTATAAGTTTTTAATAAACTTGTAGCACCAACGGTCGTCAAAGATCGGACCACGGTTTATGTGAGTGGGCAGTTAGTACCAACTCAAGGTGCAGGTTGCGGCATATATTGGGGACCGGGAGACGAAAAGTAACTTACATTTATGCCTATGAATAATCGCTGAATAGAAATGTTGCGAAGTGCCTCACTGGAGTGTACACGAACCTAGCGGTTGCGATCACGGTGAGTCCGACTTGTAGCCTGCCCACATAGTATTCTGTGACCTAGCTGTTTCTCATGAACCCATTCAGTCGGTCATGCGAGACCCTTGAGTTTCATATCTGGTTTTTGCTATTTTTAACTGTTGGTACTGTTTCGTTTTACTCTAGGCAGCTACTTTGGTCATGAAACAAGCGGTGAGTGCCGGAATTTCGAGAATTTGCATTGTGACGGACTGTGAAGAGTTGGTCGAATACGCGACTGGGAAGCGGGACTTACAGCAGCTGGAAGATGGGAGGTTCCGCGGGTTGATTATGAAAGTACTCCACATGCTAAACAATGCCAAGCTTGACGTTATTTGGGTGAGTTTACATCGACTATAGACCGTCGAGAATCTGAGGGATTTTTACTGTGATGCATTGTGTCTGAATAACTGGATGTTTGCGTTCTTGCTGTTGATTGATGAGAGATATTCGTTTGAACTTCCTCTGACCTTTCAGTAACCATTTACGCATATATCCGGTGTGTAAACCGACGGTACTGCCGAGAACGCGTGGAATATACGACTGAAACAAGAGACGTGGATGCTTCACTAAGTAGTGCTATTCCCACCTTTCTGCTTACTAATTCCTTCCGCCCGGCTTACCGCATTGAAGACATAACCAGAGGTAGCTAAGTAACGTATAGGTTATAGGCTGCTCAGCGACGGCCAACTTACTAAACGGCGGATGAAGGATTGCTTGGCTCTGAGTGCGTGCGATCACACCGCCCCCAACTTGGGTTAAGCACTGTATCGATATGTGGATAGAATTTCAGCTGCGGAAAAATGTTTCGCACAACGTGTCATGTTGGCTTCGTTTTCGCTATCGGTACTAACTTGGTGTATTCGCTTCTGTTTCAGCGCCGAGGGGAAGGTCACCTGAGCAACGAGGATGAAAAAGAGGCGTACCGCTTGTCCAAACAGGGCGCCAACCTGTTGCTGGAAAGAAATATCAATCTGAATTAAATTGCTGTTCACATTTGACTGTCTTTCCGATTCTTCAGGCCGCTTCGTCAGATGGAATTCTGTTTGTGATTAAAGGCAGGTTCCTTTGGGCGCATTCATTTAATGTGTCGACAGCAGAACTATCCCGACCATGGCTATTGGCGAAGTAGAATCAGTCCAAGGACAGTTGATAAACAGACTGTACACCACGAACAGTGTACGTCCATCGAGTTGATGGTGTGCACATGATCAGCTTATTATCGACGAGTTCGGGAGACCAATGACAGTCGGGTGAGATTTTCCATTCTAAGCAGCCGGTGCTGCCGCATTACCGAGCACGAATTAACCATTGGACCAATTTGTGAAGTAGCAAGAAGTCGCTCACTTAGAGGAACAGAAAGGGATTTCCGGTGAACAACCTGCAGTCGGTTTGCGTCGACTGCCGTTCATCAGTTAATATGTTGATGTCCGATCAAATTGTGGATATTAACCAAGGCCGCAGCACTAGGTAGACCTCCTCCAGCCCTCTTCCTATTCGAGAGAGTTAGATCTGTAGATAAATTGCATAAGAAACTAAGGAAATCATGGAAGATGAAGACTGTCTTAACAGACTTCAGCCGCTCAGCTTTTGTCTCCATTACCAAAGGAGGCTCACACTTGGAATGCCGCAATCAGATGGGGGTTAACCGGGTCTCAACTCCCTCTACTCTACTTGCCTCTGTCGTTCTCTATAGACTTGCTGACACTCGTAAGAGCCAAATTCGCAACAAATAAACAGGGGTTGGTCGAATCCGAAAATGTTTTAATCAAATATCGACGTCACTTATTGGAGTACCACCGTATTTACTGGCGACCTAACGTAATCAAGAGTTAATGGTTTATTGCGAGAAAGAAGCTTAGGCCTAGCATGCCCCGCATAATGGTGGGTGTGGGTTTGCAAAAGAACGAAAAACATTCACAAACTACGAACATGCCGCGCAAACTTGTGTCCATCTGAATGGTTCACAAATGGTTTTAACCAACGCGAAATATCACCGCTTTTGGTTTTCATACAGAAACCGGGCGTGGGTTAATGCAGTACAGTTATATGAAAACACCTACGGTGTGGTGTAACGTGACTAGAGCATCGTCGACACAGTCGTTGGAGGCAGCGAATTAAGGGGATGAAATAATTGGTTCTGAGAGCGCATTTGATACAGCGAGAAGAAATCCCGTTTACTTTTCAACCAGCTGTATTGTTCTGCTCTCTTGAGATGGTGAGCGATCCGTTTGTTGTTACGGCCGAGTTTTAACAACTGAGAACACATTTGATCATGCCAGCTTAAAAGGTGATAAAACACAATAAGATTATCACGCGCCCACCGAAAACTCCCGGAGTACTCAGTCACTGTTCGAATGGCAAATGGTGTAGTCCTTTAACATTTTCGTATCCCTGCGTTGTGAAGTTTCCAAGACCGTTACATCTCGCTTCAATCATGGCTGCCATGCCGGAATCGAATAATCCACTTGTGTGCAATCAAAAAACCGGCTGGGGGGTATAAATGGGTCAAATTGACCAAAATCTCCCATTAAGAGCCCAAGTTTTGAATGCCATTTGCTGATTCTGGTGCAGATTACGCCGAGCAACCGAGGTTTTATTTGATCACAACACCGAGATCTCTTTCTCAGTGAACATGCTAAAAATCCTGGTCGCCCAGCTTACAAGTGTGAGGCGTTTGAGGTTGTATATAGTGCACTTGATGTTTCGTTACTTTAAACTGGTATTTCCTGACTGACCCTCCATAAATCTAGTTTAAGTCGTTTCGAATCTGCGTACGGTAGTTTGAAGCCTTGATCGATTGCAAAACTTTGATGTCATATAGCTAACAGTGTGGAATAATTAAGATCACTAGATGGTTAATGAAAATCAAGAATATATTGCGCCTTATTCCGAACCTTGTGACACACCGCATTCCACTTGTATGTGATTTGATACAGATTCGCGAAGTTTCACTTCCAGGCGCCCGTGCAGGAGGATGTCGTCAATCCACCCTAGGAGGTGATCACCAATGCCGTATACTTGAAGCTTGGTTACAAGGTGGCGATAATTCAACCGGTGAAATGCTTTAGGGAAGTCAAGGTAACCAACACCATCTCCTACAGGCACATCCACTAATTCGGTCCAGCTGTCCCGTGCACGATCGGTTCCGACGGATGCCGTGTTGCTCTTGCGCGATGTAGCCAAGTTTGTCAAGGTAAAACATCACAGCGTCAAGACTGATCGCCCCTATGACTTCGAAAGAAATGGAACAGGAGCCAATGGACGGTAATTAGCTGTGTTGGAAAGACTGCCTCCTTCATAGTTTGAAGTTACTAATCCAGATACGGTCGCAGATAACGTCCTCGAGATCGGGATGACAGTGGTGTATCTCAAAGTGAACCGCGGTCTCTATAGAGGTTGCGAGTCGCAGCCCAAATACACAGCGTGTTCCCTAAATTCAGATTTCAGTAACTAATTCACTTTTTATGCTGTAGTTACATATATCTTGTCAAGATAAGCCTGGAAGTGTCATGACAAAAGTTCGGCAAGGATTTTAGCTCTTACAGCAAGTACATTTAAGCGAATACCATTAATTTTGAGAAAGCAACGTGGGCTCATAGATAACAGATTTCGCATCACAGTGTCAGCCATAAAATGCATTTGCGTGAGCCTTGGTACTGGTGCAGTCATCAACAACATCAACAGCAGCTGTATATCAGCCATTTGAACTGATGTTTCACCGCCATACAACCATGATAACCTATGAAATAAAGAATATTAAGAGGGAGAGAAGGGGAACTTACCGGAAAACCTTAATGCCGTAAGCAAACATACAGGGTCAAGGCGCCTACATCCTGTGTAGACAACATACCCTCATAAACAGCTGGCTATCGTGCAAAGATAAGGCGGCATCGGCGAGACAGCTTCCTTGCGGCTTTCGCTGCCACGCGTCATAATCAGCCATTACCCCGCAGATAACTCACCACCAAACACACTGTAAAAAGGCAATCTGACTAGGAGACGGAAGCAGACGCCCCACTGGTGTCGGTTACGAGCCAAGCACAAGGCGACTCACGTGGACTCCAGCCCGGAAGGTGAGACGGACCAACGGCACCCAGTTTGGTCGTCAGTGACTTCATTTCCTGCTGCCAAGTCAAGTTCTGTCCACCTCGAGCCTTGCGTTACCCTACACCTGGTAAGCGGTGATCAGCCATACATAACACGTGCCCGAGTCAACGCAACTTATTCAGTGGAATCTGTTGTTCTAGGGAGCTACCTAGTACTCGCTTACGCACATCATCATTGCAAATACGCTGGTGCCATACGACGCCAGCAATGCTCCGCAGACAACGATGATCACAGACTTGGACGCACCTCAGATCATCACAACGAAGTTTCACTCGCATTAAGTAGAACGGCCCTCACTGTGGATTTGTATACACGGCCTTTCAGAAGGAAGGAAATTCCTTTCTGTCGCCAAAGCTGACGCAGGTTAAAGAAGGTAGCTCTGGCCTTTGCAATGCGTGAGATGACGTCAGTTTCCATGCGCCCATCATTGCTGATGCAGCTGCCAAGATAAGTGAAATGATTAACCACCTCGAGTTCCTCGTTAGCAAGCGTCAAGGGGTCATCAAGTGGCTGGTGGTCCTGCAGCAACACTTTGCACTTTGAAGGTGCGAAGTGAATACCAAATAATGGGACCACTCTAGACAGGCTATTCAGGGTTCATTGTGTCGTCACAACATAGTCGAAAAGCAAGACGACATCGTCCGCATAATCTAGATCAACTATTCTATCACCAGGCAGCACTTCAACGCCTACATCGTGAGATTTCGCAAGGGAAGACTCCATGGCTGAATCTACGAAGAAATTGAATAAAAATGAGAAAATTGAACAACCCTGGCAAACGCCACTTCTAGTCAAAAAGCTATCTGATAGGACGCTGTAGATCATGACCCGGCCACAAAGGATGTTCACATATTTCGTGGGAACATATTTCCGCACAAGTACGTCGAACAGAAACGATCGATCGACTGAATCGAGCGCACTCTTGAAATCGAGGAACACAACTATGGTTGGTCTGCGGAATGCGTGGCGCTGCTCTAGCACCTGCCGCAGAGTGAATATATAGTCTATATAGCCACGTCCTGAGCGGAAACCGGTCTGCTCTTCCCTAATCAGAGATTCCCGTTCTACACTGTGGCGACGAAGGAAAATAGAGGGCAGTAATTTTGTCACTATCGGCGTTAGGCTAATACCACAGTGGTTAGAACAGTCTGTGCGACTGCCCTTCTTGCACAGTGCCACTACAAGCGACTCGTTCCAATCAGCCGGGACACTACCTTTCAGACACGTTCGAATGGAGAGGTTAGTGCTTTGTAGGGGACCTTAGTTCCACCCATAAATAGTGCAGGTTGGAGGGAATCCGGGCCAAAGGCACGAAAACGATTGAGGGCTGTGATCACATTTCGGATCTCGGCCTCCGACGGAGGCTCTAAACTAATCGTTCATGGCTCGTCCTGTATCATCTGAGTAGGAAGAGGTCCGGGAGCAGAGCGCCAGCTGAAGTGATCTTGATAGTGTTCCGCTCAACGATCCATACGGCGCACCTTATTGTGTATCAGTGAACCCGCGCTGCCTCTGATTGTCTCAATGACACCTGGTTTCTGGGACCAGTGGTGCAGATCAGCTGGAAAAGTTTGCGGTGATTGCCTACTGCTCCTGCCTCCTTCATTTTTTGAGCCCGTGGTCTAACAGGCTTCCTTGTCAACACAGGCTCCGCTTTAGTTCGCGTCTAATAGCATGTCTGGTCCCATTGTGCTCACAGCTAGCCGGGAGGTTACTTCTATATTCCAACATGTTCACCGACCTCTCGGATATCCAGTGACCGGTGCGGTGACGATGGATAGTGCCACAAGCAGATGCTCCTACATCTCGCATGGTGGCCGAGATCCTATTCCACTAAAGCTCAGTGTCATTAGGACAAGACAGCGAAAATTCG